GGACCAGCAGTTAGCGTAATGACTATGTCGCTGGACTCACCCACGTAACCGACCGCAGTTCAAGTCCCCGACCCGGTGGCTTAAACTCATGCCGGGTGCGTGTGCGTGCGTGCCCAAGATCACGAGAGGAGAACAGAGGAGAAGGGACTGCTGCGTGGCCATCCCGCCTAGTGGGTGATTTCTCGCTTTCTGACTCTCTGTCTCTCTTTGTCTTTCTGGCAAGCACACGCATCCTATAGCAAAAACCTCTCCAAAAAAAAAAAGAACCATGCTTTGAGAACAGAACTCTGAAGAGACCTCTTTGAGAATCCATGCATCCAGAAGAGAAAATTCAAACTAAAAGAAAAAGAAAATATTCTAGAAATAATAAATACGAGTCTGTGTCATATTTAGTCTTTTAAAATGTCATATCAGTGATATGCACTGTCAATACCTTCAAACATGTTGTTTGAACAAAGTTTACTGATAAAAACTCAAACTTCAGGGATATAAAAAAGAAATAAATTGATCTTGAAAGGTTTGAAAGACTGAAGGACATCATGTTTGCTAAAATGAGGAGGGAAGTCAACAGAGATGAGGGCAATGTGATGTTTTTCAGGGTAACAGCAGCAGTAAAACTCTTCTCAAATGCAGGGACCCATGTAGAATTAGGGCTGTGAAGAACAAGATGTGCTTATTACTGGTCCAGTGGAAAAGAAGCAAATACATGCAGCAAAGCACATCTGCTGTGGTAGAAAGAACCCTGGGCTGGGAAAGAGGAGCTCTGAGCTGGTCCTAACCCCGTGCTAATTCTGATCTGATGTTGGGCCAGTCCCTTTCCCTATGGAAACCTTCTCTAGTGTGTAAGTAATGAAGACACATTTCTAAGGCTCTTCTAGTGCTGAAATTCTGTGTTCCTTCAATAAATAAATAAATAAATAAATAAATAACCTGAAGCCCATATATTATATTCTGTATTGGTTAATTTTCATTACTTATACTTACAATTCTTAAAAGAGATACTAACAACAGTAAGAGATACTGTTTGAACATTTTTACCTGCAACAGCCCTGATGAGTAGGTAATTATTATACTAATTTTATGAATAAGGAAGATGAGGTTCAAAGAAGTTAAGTGACTTTCCCAAGTTAATAACTGGTGGGCTTGAAATTCAAACCCCAATCTGTCTCCAAATCTTTTCTTCCTTCCAACTTTTCTATGCATTACTTTTAGTGCACTAACAAAAAAATTCAGATGACTAGAATGGTGTTGGCCCCATCACCTAGTGGTTAAGACACCCAGATCCCACATTCCTGACTCTGGTTCAAATCCTAGTCCTGAGAGCTCAAAAAACACGCCAGACCTGTGTATGTGCATGCCCAAAGTTGGGAGAGGATTGAAAAATGGAGGAGAAGGGATGAGGCATGACTATGCTTCATTAGAAGTTTCTTTCACCTCTCTCTCTCTGGTGAGTACACATACTCTCTGGCAAAATAAGTAAATAAATAAATTAAAGGAAGAAACAAACAAACAAATAATATATATACTTTCTGACCTAGGAAGCCCATTTCTAGATAACTCCTTCAGAAACATTATGATATTCGTAGTAGCAAAAAATTGAAAACTACCGTAATCACATCGACAGGAATCTCACTGGAAAATACCAGTACAGTTGGTACCAAGCTCTCATTAAAAAGATATGAACTGGGCCAGCAGGTGGCATAGTAGTTAAGGTGGTGGATTCCATATGATTAACCACAATTAGAGTCCTGGACCTGATGGCTTGCATTCTCATTCTCATTTTCTCCCATGAGTGCACGTGCCCTGTAGCAAATTTTTAATAATAACAACAATGATAAGGTTAAATAAGTAATTCTTTAAAAAAAAAAAAAGTATGAACTAGGGAGAGCCTGTGGCTTGGTGGTTAAGGCAGCTGAACCCACATGGCCAACCATGCAGTTTGAGTCCCAGACTTGGTGCTTGAAAACCACCAGGCATTTATGCATGTGTGCCAAAAATACTGAAAGGAGGAGAAAATAGAGAAGGGATTTTGACACGGCCATGCCCCGAGTTTGTGTGTGTGTGTGTGTGTGTGTGTGTGTGGGGTTGTCTCGCTTTTTCTTTCTCTCCTCCTTTCTCTGTCTCTGTTATTTTCCAATGAGTACATATACTCTCTGGGGAAAAAAAAAAAACTTTAAAAGGAAGGTATGGAGTCAGCAAGTGGCATAGTGGTTAAGGTGCTAGGCTCCCACATCTCCTACCACAGTTCGAATCCTGGACCTGGTGGCTTGAAAATCATGCCAGACACATGTGCATGTGTCTGTGCTCCAAATCCCAGGAGAAGGGATTGTGGAGTGGCCATTCACTGTGGGAAGTGAATTCTCATTCTCTCACTTTCTTTGTCTCTCTTTGGCAAGCACACACGTCCTATGGCAAAAAAACCTTAAAAAATATTTTTTAATTAAAAAAAGATATGAACTGATATGAAATGTGTCCACAATGTATTATAAATGAAAAACAAAACAAAAAGCATGTCATACAATTGTATTATGATTTACCTGTTTAAATGGAAAGTCAGCCGTATTGTTATATGAATCTGTGTAGAGAGAGCAACATAGAGCTTTAATCCTGTACTTGCATGTGTACATAGTAAATTTATACAGAGTATATACAAAAGTTATTACCCCTGAAAGTGGAGATGGTAAGAGCACTTTTATCTCTCTCTTTTATACAGAATTTTAAACAAAATTTATTTGCCACAATCATATACTTTTGGGTGAGGGGAGATGTAGAGAGGCTTTTACTATAGGGCACATGTGCTCGCTGGAGAGACAGGCAGAAACGGAGAGACAGAAAGTGAAAAATCACTCCCACTCCCGGAGAGAGTATGGCCACACCACAATCCCTTTTCCTTTCTCCTCGTGGGATTTTAGGCATGCATGTATAATGTGCCCGATATGAGTTTTAAGTTGCCGGGTCCGGGACATGAACTGCATTTAACTACATGGGAGTCCAGTAACATAACCATTATGCCATCTGCTGATCCCCCATCATATGCTATTTTTTTTCTTTTTTGAAGAGGTTTTTTGTTTTGTTTTTGTTTTGCTTTGTTTTGTTTTGCTATAGGGCACGTGCACTCACCAGAAAGACAGAGAGAGAGACAGAGAAACAGAAAGTGAGAAATCACCACCCGGGGGGATGGCCACATCGCAATCCCCTCTCCTCCATTCTCCTCTCGAGATCTTGGGCATGCACACACGCACACGTGCCCAGCATGAGTTTAAGCCACCAGGTCCAGGACGCGAACCATGGTCAGCTATGTGGGAGTTCATCGACATAGCCATTACGCTAACTGCTGGTCCCCATATGCTATTTTTAATTAAAAAAAAAACCCTAATTGTTTAACAAGAGAATAAATTATTTTGCATATGAAGTTAGTACAGTTTGGCTTCCTGAAAACCAGCCTGGGTCACTTACCTGTTCTGTCTCTCTGGCTCTCAGAGTCACACTCTGATACTCAGTAGCCTATACGGTCTCTGGAATGACTGTGATCTGCCAAGGAGTAGATCTGGAATTTTATACTTTAAGGGGGCTTTCCACTCAAATAGCCTAACAATCCCATCCCTCTGAAGTGGGAGAAAGTTTAGTCTTAGAGAGGAGCTCTGATAGTCCGCTAGCGAGTGACACAGCCTGCCCAGACCTACCACAGCAGACGTCCCATGTTACCATGAGATCAGTACTTGCAGTAAGACACCAGTATAAGACACCAGGGAAGAGGCAAGGAGAAGGATTTAAAAAGAAAGAGAAAGTAAGAAAACAAGGAGACTTTAACAAAGTTATTATGAGAGGACCGAAAGGTAGAATTGGCTGTTCCGAGGTCTCATAAGGAAACAATTAAATGGGAAAACTGCCCTTCCCTGTATTTACCACTCAATATCATTGTCAAAGAGAATTAGTGAAAGGCAAAAGAACTTTACCTGCAGACAAACTGATCAGTCTTTTATTTTTCTTTCCTAGGGCATAACAATCTGCCCTGTAAATAAAAGGAAGCAGAATTCTCATATCATCAGCAAACCTATTTCTGTGTAGGTAAAACAAACAAACAAAACAAAAAAACTGAATTATTATAAGTTCGGTTCAAGCAGAAGGCTTGTTAGGAGTTAGTTCACTTTTGCACCCTGTCCACTGTTCCTCTTCTGAGGGCAGACACTGAGCCTGGTTGTCAGACAGCACTCAGTGGTTAGACTGTGTTGACTTTGACTGAATTGACTTGAGCAAGATTTTAACTTTTGCTTCCCGTTAAATTTGACTTAACAATAATTTTTAACCTTGCAGAGTTTCGGAATTGTTTTTTGATGCTGTGTTTCTTTCCAGTACACGTCCCCAAATTGGAGTTAGCAAAATTGGAGCTAGTTAAATAAACTACAGGCACTCTTTATTTTGTCAGAGTTCATTCTGGAATTATGCATGAGAAATGGGGCAGTCAAGTTTATTTTGGAACAAGGCTCAGGGCTGTCTAACCAAGCTCAGGATGACAGAACTAGGCAGCTGACCAAAGAGAGATGTTTGGCAGCTGGCCAGCCTCATTTCATACCGTCTCCCCAGAACCTCATCTGAATATATTAATCTGTCAGCACATACTTGTCTGTGTGCATTACATGTATTTCTCTTTCTTATCCCATTTTTCCCTCTAATTTTGAAGGTTCCTTTTACCCTAGGAATCTAGCATGCTCACAGGGGCATACTAAATGCACATAATAAAATTCTAGCAGACATGAGTAGTCAACAAATATGTTTAACCCAGTCAGCCCATGGCACAAACGCCACAAAAAATTTCATGTCTCAATTCAAAGTTACTAAGACCATGGACTTGCTAAGTTAACAAACTCCTGAATGGGATATGAAGAGTTGCAAAGCATGTGACTTAATTTTAGGTAGACTCTTGGTTTGGAGAAACTTTTCCTCTGTGAGAATAATACATCTTACAAAATGCCCAAATTCCCTACTGTCCTCTCTTTCAGGTAAATGGCATTGACCTCCGTGGAGCATCCCATGAGCAAGCGGCTGCCGCACTGAAGGGAGCTGGACAGACGGTGACAATCATAGCACAATATCAACCCGAAGGTCAGTCAGAACCCTCGCTTGCAGTGCGCTCTAGGTCTCTGTGCAAATGTGTGCCACTGTCGCTGATCCCCCCCATCAACCAGGGCCACAGCAATAATGTTGTTTAAAACTACCTAGAGTGGGAAATCCATGGCTCATGTCTGAAGAAATGAGGCTTTGTTACTCCTCATCTTCCAGAAAAACATCAGGCAGTTAGAAAGGTTTTTATGGCAGGGGGTGGCGGGGGGGGGGAGAAGGCCTGTATGAAAATATGAATTCAGATAACAATGAGCATCAGTATGATTTTCTTTACATTCTTATCTGGCACACATTTCTGGTCACAAAGGATACTGTAAAAACAATTAAGATTCGAGAAAGGAGGAGGTAAGGTTTCATCTATAGAAGTAAACCATGGTGGGTAGATGGAATACTTTCCATGTGGTTTTAACTTATTCTCATTAACACTAACATTGCCTTTGATGTCTTTGTTGGTTTTTGATTGATTGTTTGTTTTGGTTGCTTATTTGTTTCTTGGTTTTCCTCCCCCCACCCGCCTTTTCTGCTATATTATCACTTGCTTGGAATAAATCACTAAACCCTGAGACTTGGTGAGGTGTCAAAAATTGGATTAGCCAACTGAAACTCAATGAGATGTGCTAAATTGAATTAGCCATACTGTGCTCTTTGGTTTATTTGAACATCTGTTTCTGTGATCAAAATGAAGCTCAGAGAGACCACTGGGATGTTACCTATTGTGTAGTCAATTTCTTAGCAAATTCATCTATCGATTGGTCCTTTGCAAATGAAGCCTATGAAAGCACACCACTGTGAGTTAGACCTTGTATAGAAAGAGAGAGAGAGAGAGAGAGAGAGAGAGGGAGGGATGGCCTCTGTCTTTAGGAAATGTCTGTTTGGAAAACTGAGGTTAATGTCTTGGCTGTGACAGCTGATATCTTAGGTCTTACCATTAGCAGTGACCAGTCATATATTCTGCACAAAAATAAGGAAAAAATTTTAATGTGTATTTTGGTATGCTACCTTCATGTGTGCTGGCTTTAGAATTAGAATTTGCAATTAAGTTACACAAATTTTCTTCTTTTTTCTCCTATTGGTCTCAGCCAACTATGGCCAGAGAGTTGGGGGTAAGGGGTTTTGTAATGATCAAAGCTGTGTAAAGTCACCACCAAGAGAATGTGTTTGTCCAAGGTAGTTTGGGGGAAGTCTTTCTACTTCCTAAATATTAATGGATTTGTCTTCTAATAGGAATAAATAGCTCTTAAAGTATCCACCATAAAACTGGAAATAAGATCTGAGTCAGCCCAATTCGATTAATAAATTCATAGAATAAGATATTTTTCTCAGAAACCTTCCATTTTCTTGATAGCCATTTTCTTTCCATCTCAAAGTCTATGCCCTTCACTTCACCTCAGAGGGCATAAGTGTCCCTAGCTGTTTTCCTGTTTTTGCAAATTTTGCTCAAATAATTCTGCAGACTGATAAGATGTTTAGAAACACAGTTGCACCAATTAGAAGTTCCTGATAGCAATCAAATGTTCAGATAACCTTGAACAGAATGATTTCGAGCTTTAAAGGTTACAGTAAAGGACAGGCATGCCCTCGTTCTATCAGTACAAATCTTCCTCTTTCTACTAGAGCCTCCTTACAGCTTGGCTTCCTTGAAGCAATATATTTAATTTAGGCACTCTGTTGTACTTTATCAGGATACTTGTTCAAAGCACATCTTATAAATCATATAAATCAATTTTTAAAGTGCTTCTAAAGAAACCTGCAAATAACACAAGCCTCTTTGAAAATGCCAAAATATAGATTAGATTCACCGAATGACTTCCCTCTGTTAATAGTCTCACTGTATTCTAATTTGTCACAGCTTTAAATTAGTTGGAAGTGTAATGGCAACATTAAGCAATTGGATTCTTACCCCTTTGCAAATTTTATGTGTATCTGAGCTTTAATTTAACTACTGGCTTAATGGAAAACTGATTGAATTGTTGTTGTGATCATTTAGGGACATTTAGATTGTACATTTTTAAGAAATAATGAACAGTTTAGCTTTAAAGTAATAAATGAGATGAAGGCTGGGCCATGAGATTCCATAAGGAAATTCTCACCAGATCTATTTCATTTATACCTGTACTGTGAGGTGCCCAACCCTTGAAACAATGCTAAGACAAGATTTTATCGACATCTCTTGTATAGTCAAGAATAGACTTCCAGCAAATATTTTCTCTGTCAGATTCAAATGCATTATTAGTAATCTTTTAAATGCTTTACTCAGCATTACTCCTGAGAATTCAAACTCTGCCCCAGGGACCAGCAAATGGCATAGTGGTTGAGGTGTTGGACTCCCATAGGGCCAACCACAGCTCAGGCTCCAGACCTAGTGGCTTAAAAATCACATCAGGTGTATGTGCATGCATGCCCAAAATCCCAGGAGGAGAATGGAGGAGAAGGGATTGCAGCATGGCCATCCTCCCTGTGAGGGGAGCATGATTTCTCATTTTCTCTCTCATTATCTCTTTCTTTCTGGTGAGTTCACATGCCCTGTGGTGAAAACCTCTTTAAAAAAAAATTATTGGGACCAGCAGTTAGCGTAATGGCTATGTTGCTGGACTACCATGTAGTCTACCGCAGTTTGCATCCCAGACCCGATGGCTTAAAACTTGCGCCGGGCGTGTTTTCATGTGTGCCCAAGATCCCTAGAGGAGAATGGAGGAGAACGGATTGCGGCGTGGCCATCCCCCCTGGGGGGTGATTTCTCGCTTTCTGTCTCTATGTCTCTCTCTATCTGTCTGGCGAGTGCACACGCCCTATAGCGAAAACCTCTCCAAAAAAAAAAACAAAAGGAAAAAAATTCTCTCCCCCTCCATCCCCCAAGTAATACAAGTATGGTCTTTGTCTTTATGGAAATTTTTTATCTTATTGAGGAGAAAGGATGTTTGTATAGTTGATAGAAATCAATTTCTGATTACATGTGGCAAATCATATGATAATGACACCATCTCTCAGAATTATGGAATGTCAACAAAGGATAAATCTCCAAGGCCCAAACAGTGTAAGACTACTTCATGGAAATATGAGAATGGACTCAGATCATGATAAATGGGTGGAGTTTCTACTCTGAAGAAGAGAGAAAAAGGACATAAAAAGGACATCTTGCTAAACTACAAGATTGTGAGTTCTGTGTGTGCAGACACCATATATTTCATTCACAAGTAGACCTTTCTCAGGTGCTGTAATGGACACTTTTCAAAGAGTTGCTGAATGAATTGACAAAAGTTTGCTGTTCCTCAGTACATGAGTTTCTCCTTAAGATAATCGAATACTGAAAGGATTCTTTATTTCTACTACTTGTACTTTTTTTTTTTTTTTGAGAGGTTTTTGCTATAGGGTGCGTGTGCTCACCAGAAAGGCAGAGACAGACAGAAAGTGAGAAATTACCCCCCAGGGGGGATGGCCATGCCGCAGTCCCTTCTCCTCCATTTTCTTCTCAGGATCTTGGGCACACACGCACATGCATCCTGCGTGAGTTTAAGCCACCGGGTCCAGGACTCTAACCATGGTCAACTACGTGGGAGTCCAGCAACATAGCCATCATGTCAACCACAAGTTCCAACTACTTGCGTTTTTAAATTTTTGCTTCAAAGGCCAAAAAGAATTGCTAGAGAAGTGTGTGTTGCAAAATATGAAACAATTTCCAACTGTTTTTCATAGTGCTTAGCACGTTTTCTGAAATAATTATAAATAATTTATGATTATTATAATGTAGCAATACATGTCTTCTTTGGCAAGTTTTACTCTACAAAGTTACTGTACTCATTTCTGTTTAAAATTATTTTGGCACCAGTTGTGCAAATTACCCACCATCAATCTTACTCAATGTCTGGGACATGGTAGTGAAATTAAGGCCAACCTAAAGAGTCATACACAGTGTTTCTTTCTGGTAGTGTGGTTGTGCTTACCATCTTTTAAATCCAATTTGCATCATGTTCTTACTTCGAAATGATCATGTGCTGTATTAGCAATAAGAAAAGTATAAGTTACTTTCTTTTAAGACATTCCCGTATCTGATTCTTTAGGAATAATTCCATTTCAGCACTATGGGAAGTTGCTTTTCGTAAAACCTTCAATTACTTGTATGCAGTTATTGAAGGTACAGTAATACCTCCTCACAAGGAAACATAATGCCCCCTACACACACACACCCTTCCCTTTCCTTACCATTCCCAGTCATCTCCTATATTGCTTTCAGTTTTATCTTTCTGAAAGGTACAATTCTGAGGTACTTGTGCACAAATGCCTTGCTCTTCACAATATGTTCCCAGCAGCCTCCACGCCCCTTCCCGCATCCACCACCACTCACAGTGTGGTCCCTTCTCACTGTCCTCCTGCTGTGCAGAAATACACCCTTCCTCCTCTCAGTGGTCCTACTTCTGTGCCTTGGCTTTGTGGGGTCCTTTGCCTGGAATGCCCTTTTTTTCCTTTCTACCTGCAAGATGCCTATTCATCTTGAGGACCCTCAGATGTCAGTTCTTCCGTGAAGCCAAATTTAGCCAACAGTAATGGGCTCTGAGCTTCCCAGACCTGTACGCAGATACCTCCTGTGTCCCTTAACACCGTTTACACATTTCACCCCTCAAGTAAGCTCAGAGAGAGCAGGGACCCTCCTTTCACTTATTTTATCTCCTGTGTTGATTTGCTCAGTGTGAACTCACTACACTTTATTAATGAGTATCTGATTATTGAAGTAGTTGTCCCTTGCTTTAGAAGTGCAGCATAATATTTTCAGTGTTGGCAAAAATAAATAGTAGATACCTAAGAAATGTTTGCTAAGTGAATATTGAATGTATGGCCTAAAGTTTGGTTTCTTTTTTTCTTTTCTTTTTTTTTTTTTTAAAGGCATTTCTGCTATAGGCTGCATGTGCTCCCTGGAGAGACAGATGGAAAGTCAGAAATTACCCCATAGGGAGAATGGCCATACCACAATCTTCTCCCCCATTCTC